TTACATACACTTTTACCATTGTAAATGAGATCAACTAAGCTGTTCAGTATTTTTTGTCATTGTTTATTTCATATTTAAAGAAACAATAATTTACTTCTGGCTGCAGACTTGGACTAATGACCCTTAAAACCTTCATTATTAGAAAACCACTGCTTCCAAAGTCAAAGCCTTCTTGAAACAGTGATCTTCTTATCGCAAATATGCAGGCTTGCTAGTATAAAATAACTACATCAAGGGGACAAAGCCTATTACATAGCTCTTCAGATACGTTCGTGTTTATTCGTTTGAATCATCAGCCTTAATCTTCCATGAACTCGTGCATCTATCAGGTTTGAGTAAAATTGGCTTAAATGGACGTTTCACAGCGAGAGACAAGATATCTCTTGAAGGTGCATGAAACACGGCCCTAATGGTCGGATCTATAAACCAATCAGTTATCATTCAATATGTAAAACCATTAATAATAATAGCAAAATAAGTATTTTAGATTAAAAACCTAAAACTTCGTACAAAACCAGTTTATATTTGAATTGAAAATGATATTCAACTTCTAGCTATAGGTACAACTGTCTTTACTGGCTTCTGTACAGCTAAATCCGATAGAAAATTGACATGTATAAGCCCCTTACCATCCATTTTCTTTTCTCTTTTGTACAAAAAACAAAAAAATGCTTATAAAAATATATTGTTATCAAACACGTCAGAGACCACAAAGAAGAATCACGTGGTAGAAATGACTGGCACTTTTTGTGGTTTGCAAAAAAAACAACAAAAAATTTCACGTGGGTTTCTACTGTAGGTTCCTATTTTCGACATTGCCTGCTCGATCCTGCGGGGAACTGATAAGGGTATTAAAACTCCCCATCATTTCCCAAAGGACTCTTACTGTTATTTGCATTTCAAACACACTTATCATTGTACAGACTATTACAGAGAGTTTCTTTTATTCTCCGTTCTGAGAGGGGCAGTAAGTCGAAGAAATGTGAAATAATTCACTAGAATGTGATATATAAAGACTGGACTTCAGTACCCTAATAATAAGATGGAAATACCTTCTTAAAAGATTACCGACTTCTTCTTTTTTGTCTGAAGCACTTAATGAATGTCGTCATAGAACATTTCAAGTACTACGCATGCGTTTTAGAAAATCAAAATATAAGTATGAAACTTTTGTACATCTTTTTTGTTTGGTATGTTTGTTGAATTTCGCACAAAGCTACTCGAGGGCTTTTTGCGCTGGCCGTCACTAATCAACATCACCCACCGCCAACTCTTGGGCTACTCTTTACCAACGAACAATATGATTGACCGTCACATTATAAAGCCCATACGACTAAAAGGGGGCGAGCATGTTCAGTAATGGGAACTTTTATGCTTTATTCTAACAAACAAGGTATATTCAGGAGAAGACACAATCCCTTCCAGTCTAGTATTTGTTTGTTTGTTTGTTTGTTTGTTTTTTAATTATTCACAAAGCTACACAAGGGCTATCTGTGCTCTGCCCACCACGGGTATCGAAACCCGGATTCTAGCGTTGTAAGTCCGCAGACATACCGCTGTGCCACTGGGGGGCTACCAGTCTAGTATTCTGTATAGCAAATTCACACATATTCTTAGACCAAAAAAAAAAAATGGGTAAACTCTCGTATAATTGTAAAAATTATTCTGAAGACTATATTACATAGTATTTCGAACACATCAAAATTTATCCAAATATATCATGTCTTAATCATACAAAGATAAACTAAGTAAATTTAAACCGTAAGAAAAAACTCCCCGACAAATTCAACTGCTCTCAATTAATAACAAAGCACTATAATGATAACTGTAAATAATATATGCTTCTTTGGTACCTTCTCGCTTAAAATAATTAGCAGAAAATAATTATTATTATTATCTTTTTTTCAAATTTAACCGTTTACATCTCATCCACTAACATTGTGGAATCTTATTAAATATTAAAAGCATCTAGGAAGAAGTAAAATATTAATCAGCATATGCATGCCGAAATTGATTTGTTCTAAACCCTAGAAACTAACTATTCACAGCCATTTCTGACACACAAAGAACATTATTAATCATATGGGTGTACAGGACAACTACTCTATTCATTTAGCGCCATCTGTTGACATAAGTTGAACTTCTTATGTAAAATATCAAGGTCATCCTTTGCAGCAGCGTTTCTCAACCTTTTTTTGCTCGTGGCTCCCTTTTGAGTTTGATTTATCTCTGTGGCCTCACCCTTCGTACACGCTGTTACTTAGGAAAAAAGTTACTTTATTTCCACACTGTTGTTTTATAATATATTTATAATATTATAATATTATTTTTACAATATTGTATTGTTTTTAAATATTTTGTTTATAACATACTGTTTACTTATACAAGT